TGCTTTTGCACAAATCAACGAACCTTGTCAGATCTTGAATTCAGAACTTAAAAGAACTTAACAGCTTGACTAGCCGTAGATATAATTTTATTCAGGGCGATAATCAAATCATATCTACGGCTAGTCCGGCTGTTCACTTCTAAGAACTGGGCTGCTGGATAGACTCTCAAACGCCGGAAAAGACGCGAATGTCCAGTATATCTATCTATCTCTCTATCTATCTATCTATCTATCTATCATTTATATATATATATATATATATATATATATATATATATATATATTATAATAATATATATATATATATTATAATTATATTTATATATATATATTTTATAATTATATTTATATATATATATATATATATATTATAATTATATTTTATATATATATATATATATATATATTATAATTATATTTATATATATATATTTTATATTTATATATATATATATATATTTTATAATTATATTTATATATATATATATATATATATATATATATATATATATATATATTATATACTTTACAATTAGAATTAAGATGCCTTTAGTTAATGGCCATTTTCACCTACAATTTTCATTTTAAAATCCGCAGGATTTTTTAAAATTGTTTCTGGTATCAGTGTGTAGTGTACTGTTTATTTGGAGAAGGAAAGAGAGAGGGTGTGTAATTGGATACCTAATGGGAGGTGACGTGGAGAAGAAGACATCGTTAGCGGAATCATATTATGGAGGTAGGAGAGCCTGGGGAGGGGGAGGGGAGGAGAGGGGGAGGCCGAAGGGCTCACCTATACCCTAACGGTCACACGGTCACAGTTTAATTCGCCGGAAATTCACGGAAATTAACGAAAACGGATGCGTTTGTTCACGTCACTGATACCTATTCGTATAGCTGACTGCTCCAACCCATACTTGGATGGCTTCATTTAAGTACATACACACTTGCGCTAGCTTTAAGTGACCTTTTAATCTCTACTTATTAAAATCTTGGATTAACCTATGTACCCTATATTAAGTATCAAGGAATCTTCTGATAGTAAGAATCTGATTACCCAAGATTGGATATGCCGAATCATATATAATGATTATATATAGGGTGAACTATATACCTATATATGTGTATCTCCTCACGCATACCTACCCTAATACTTACATGTACCTACACCCCCTCCCCATATATACAAGTATACCCCAGCATACATCAATATCAGCATATGCATCCAAATTAAGATATACTTTACAATTGGAATTAAGATACATTTAGTTAATGACCATTTTCACCTACGAATTTTATTTTAAAATTCGCAGGATTTTTCAAACTGTCTATGGTATTAGTTTGTATTGTAGTATAGTGGTATCATGTAGGAATCCACTACAAACTGATAACATAGACAGTTTGAAAAATAGTGAGAATTTTTAAATTAAAATTTGTACGTGAAAATGGTCATTTACTAAAGGTATTTTAATTCCAATTGTAAAGAAAATTTGCTCTGTTCAATGAAAATAAACATTGAGCGCTCTTTTGTGAGTCAGTTTTAACATATTACAAATTTTATGCTGTGTTAATAGGACTCGCTTGGATTATACCAACGGATTACTACCTGTATATTTTTATATATATATATATATATATATATATATATATATATATATATATATATATATATATTATTTCATCTTGTATTTCATATTTAACGAAGCTTGTATTTCACCTTGTATTTCATATTTAACGAAGCTTATATATATATATATATATATATATATATATATATATATATATATATATATATAAAACCAAATGTAAAAGAACGAAGATTTCAGCATTCAAAACATTCATTTAAAACAGAGCTCAATACAAAAGTAGACCCGTAAATTTTATTTACTAAGTAGTGTTCCATCAGAACATGAACATACTCACTACAAAACTGTACATCTTGTTTCAACATAAAAAAAAAACCTTTTTAACGTTTCATCAGGTGATGAAAACCTTTTTCAACGTTTCATGATTCTCCTATTGATGAAAAGTGTTTTTTTTTTGTTTTTTTAACGTTGAAACAAGATGTACACTTTTGTAATGGGTATGTGCATGTTCTAATGTAACACTGCAATATATATATATATATATATATATATATATATATATTTCACCCTAAGCAAGTGTGTAGAATATACATGGCATATTATATATGCACGGTACTTATTGGAAAGTGCTCAATATCAGTGATAGAGCTAATATATTCAGTCGTATGGAAATGAGTTTCTAATCCTGGGTTTCACCCTTTTGCGATGATCAAACTGATTTATTTCCTAAAATTTGAATCTACAAAGTAACGTAGATTCAAATTCAGGGTTACAAATTCATATCCTTACGACTACACACACACATATATATATATTGTGTATATTTAGGCAGCAATTTTTCATTAATGCATGTTTCATCAAATAATATAGACACGTTTTGTCTATTTGTTTTAAGTAAGTTTCTTTAAAATTGTCTGATAATCTTAATCACATTATCATTGAAAGACAAAAGGAAATCCCCATTTTGATACATGTTTAAATCCAATCTAAGCTTTCGTCTTACATAAGCCATTATCAAAGATGACACTTACTTTTCAATATATCAACCAATACACTGATGAAAAATTAATAATAAAATCTGTTTCTGTTGCATGAAAAATTTCAAAGCAACGACAAAGTCGTTTATACGAGACTCGGAAGCGGAGATCGCGTCGCAGCTCGTGACGTCACACATGATCACGCGAGAGTGAAAACGGGAAGTACTAAGTATGGGAAGCTGTTGATAACAGAAGCCATATTTAACACTTCTCGTTGCTTTGAAATTTTTCATGCAGCAGACTATCATTATTGTTTCGTCTGTGTATTGTTTGATATATTGAAAAGTAAGTGTCATCTTTGATAATGGCTTATGTAAGCCAAAAGCTTAGATTGGATTTAAACATGTATCAATATGGTGATTTCCTTTCGTCTTTCAATGCTGATGCTATTAAGCTTATCAGACAATATGAAAGGAACTTACTTAAAATAGACAAAGCTTGTCTATATTATTTAATATCCGTCTCTGGATCTTGTCAAGAACTCCGAGGAAAACAGAAGGTGCCCCAGACCATATATGGCAGCAATACTCCATGGAAGGGCGGATGGTTGATTTGTATATTTGAAGTATTGATTCCGGGGAGAAAAATTTCCTGGCGCGGCACACAGAGCCAACTTTTATATATATATATATATATATATATATATATATATATATATATGTGTGTGTGTGTGTGTGTGTGTGTGTGTGTGCAAGCCAATATATGGATATAGATCCGACAGTATGAAGAAAAATATACGGAAAAAACAAACAAAAATCCTTATATACAATTATGCTGTTTTAATGTTAATATGTCAACGTCGGACGTTTCGGTCTAATAAACCATCTTCAGGACATAGTCATAAAATATAATTAACATTATCAATTCAACATGATATATATTATATTATATATATATTCTTTGCGTAAATCCTCTTGTCGAATGTTTGAATGCATCTCTTACCCACCCTCAGCTATAGGCATATAGTAGCACAAAATATACCCTTTAGCCGTGTTTGGCAACTGGACTAGAAGAAAGATAAGTCGCAATTCATGTCCTGAGGAGAGTCGTTTGGAGCCCTTGTGACACATTATATGCACCCGTTTTTCTGCATTCGACTATTACAGAAAGTGTGGTTTCTTCATTCACAGTGACAATCTAATCAGATATGCAGGTCATCTGGCTATTCGCTTCTAAGAACAGTACACATACGTCGAACAAACGATGGGAGAGTCCTCCATATATCTATGGGTAAAGTATTCGTTATCAAGGACAGAGCGTGTGTAAGTTTAAAAGTGAACACTGGGTTCAACACCGAGCGGCTACAGTGTTTCACATACTTGAAAGCAATTTTTAGGACGTCTTTTCTCCTTGATATATCTACATGTGTATGTGCATATATATATATATATATATATATATATATATATATATATATATATATATATATATATATATGTGTGTGTGTGTGTGTGTGTGTGTGTGTGTGTGTGTGTGTGTGTGTGTGTGTATCTATGTATTTCTATCGCTTTAAACGTTTATTTTTAGTGGATACTTATACTTGCTCCATTTATTTATTAAACCGGCCTGAATATTCGAGAATGAATTAACACAAATCAATCAATAAATAAATAATACACTCCCGCCAAAATAACCGCCAAAATAGACTACCCACAATGCACCACTGACCCGTATATATAAATAATCGAGAAAAACCCTCCACTCGCGGCATGACGATTGCGTCTAGTATGAAACAGCCTGTTGTCTGACTGTTGACTTCAATGTTCACTTTTATATTTACATATGCTCTATCTCTGATATTGAGCACTATATTCCCTAAATATAGCAGACATTAAAACTATATTTCTTCATATATATATATATATATAACACAGACAAGAGGAAATAATAGATCTGTGACTAAATTGGTTTGTGTGGGAAAGTCAGGTAAAAATGACACTCGCAATTGAAAGTAATGAGTAGCAGCAAAACCTAAGGCCTTTCCATCAACGGATTGGATCTATGCAAATATTCACAGTCACAGATGAGTCGATGGGTGGAAGAAGATTCCAAATACGCTCTCGCAACGAATATATTCACGCATACAACAGGCAGAAGGTTTGCAGAACATCACAAAACGCGTACAGGTTCTTGCAAGTAATTACACGTGCATAAACACGCATTTTGATCCCCAATTGTTTGTTGTAAACTTCTACAAGAAATCAGAGAGAGGCCTAGGGTCTTTAACCCCAGGCAATTATCGGCAAAACATTTCGTAAAGAAGAAAAAGAAGAAAACTTTTTAGTGTGTTTCTTTGACTGCTATCGTTAGTAGTTAATTTAAGAAAAATTATGCATATATATATATATATATATACATATATATCCGGATGCACACTTAC